TTCTACAAGAACTTTGCCATGCGACACTCTGATGAGTCGCTCCCAACCTTGTGGAAGACGCTCAAACCTGTGCTCCCACGAGCCGTGTCCAAGCGTGCCAACAATTTGCGTTGCGTTGGTCCAGCCACGTCAGATATCGTGCAACATTTTGATGCCTTGGAGGCTGGGGAGCCTACATCATATCCAGCTCTTTTACATGATTGCCACCATGCCCAACAAGAAGCCTTGGCCGATGCTTCTCTGGTCATCCCCTTGGCTGACCTTCCCTCTCGAGTTGATGTTGAGCGATTGTGCTGCAAAGCCAAACGAGGAAAAGCCCCTGGTATTGACCAGGTGACTGCCGAAACCCTTCGTAGCCATGTTTTGCCGGCATCAGCAGCCCTTCATCAGCTGATTTTGAAAGCCTTTGTGCAAGGAGCTGAACCCCTTCAGTGGAAGGGGGGAAAGATGCATGTGATACCAAAGAAATCCACAATCATGAGGGCAGATGCCATGCGAGGCATCATGCTCTTAACCACATGTGGGAAAGTTTACCATGCGCTTCTTCGTCAGATGCTCATTGGCTGGACGACTTCCATGAAGGTGCCTGCTCAAATGGGGGGTTTTTGCGGACAGCAAACTAGTTTCGCCACTCATTTGTTGCGAACGTTTTGCAGCCTGGCCACCACGGCACAGATGGCCTTTGGGGTCCTTTTCTTTGATGTGAAGGCGGCTTTCCACAACATGATTCGAGAGCATGCATTTGGTGGGTCTATGTTACCTTCTCGGCTTCGTGAGGTGCTCCTTCAAGCTGGCTTGGACGTGGAGCAGCTTTGCCGTGACATTACCCCCCATTGTGCTTTGTTTGAGACCTTGCCCAACCTTGCCCTACAGCGAGCAGTTCGTGATGCCCATGATTTTACCTGGTATGTTGTCGATGGCCAACAAGAATGCCATCGCACCCATCGAGGGTCCCGGCCAGGCAGCCCTTTGGCTGACATAGCCTACAACATTACCATGGTGAATGTCCTGCATGATATCCTGCCTCGTCTTCGACAGTATGGACCAATGAACGCCGCTGCAGCGCACTTGCCCATTTCTTCTCCTTTGATCACCTGGGTCGACGATCTGGCAATTCCGATACCGGTTACATGTGCCACTGCCCTTGATTCCCAGATTGTTGATGTTTTGACAGATGTTCGAGAGGTCATGAATTCCTACGGGCTTCAGCTGAACATGCAGGCCGGCAAAATGGAGCTTGTGTGCCAATACCATGGTCGAGATGCTGTGACGTGCCGTCATCGTCGCTTTGTTGAACATGCAGGACAACTTCCTTTACCAGATGGTTCTTCGCTGCATGTTGTTGGACAATATCAGCATTTAGGCACTGTGTTCAGCCAATCCCTGTCTTTGAGCAGTGAGATGACAGGGAGGATTGGCAAGGCTTCTGCAGCATTTCGACAGATGTCACGCCCCATCTTCAACAACAAGCGGCTTGCTCCCGCTGTGCGATTGCAATTGCTGGAATCTTTAGTGCTGTCCATTGTTTTCTATGGCTCGGGCACATGGCCGCTTCTCAACCATCGTATGTACACCAAGCGGGCTCATGTTATCATTCAATGGCAAAGACGGATTGTGTCTGATGGATTCTGGAAAGAGGATCGCAGTTCTGACGATGACTTTCGATCTCGTTGGTTACTGCCCACTCTTTCTGCTCGGTTGGCCAAGCACCGCCTTTTGTATGCCTTCAAGATGGTTCAACATGCCCCGCAGGACTTGATCACCTGCATCACGGCTGAGGATGAGCTCGATGGACAGTCACCCTGGTGTCGTGCGCTTCGCCATGCCATTGCATGGCTTAGACTTCATGAACCACAGGGCATTGCTCAGTGTTCTGTTGACACGCCTGCTACGCTGATTCAGTGGTTACATGATCATCAACAAGACGGACCCTCCTTGGTGCGCAGATTGGCACGCAGAGCTGTCAAACAAGATCAACTAGCCCTTGATCTGAGACAGAAGACTCGACAGATCTATGATGCATGTCGATTGCAAGGAGTTGTCTTTGACCAGGTGCCCGAAGAGCCTCTTTCAGCCTCCGCCACAGCGTTTGTATGTACGACGTGCGGGCATGGTTTTGGCTCTGTTCAGGGTCTCCAAGCTCACCGTTGGCGCAAGCATCAGATCTTTTCAGAAGAACGGCGGTACATTTATGACACCACATGTCGAGCCTGCAATCGCTGCTTTTGGACAGTCCAACGCCTACAGCAGCATCTTCGATGGAGTCGTCAGCATCCTGATGGCTGTTATTATGTGCTGCAGCGGTATTTCCAACCGCTTGAGGCTCCAGTTCAATGCAGCCTGCCGGATTTTGCACGTGGAATTTCCCGTTTACCCGCCAGTGTGGTAGAAGGTCCGTTACCAGATGTGATGCCCACGGTCTGGCAACTTCAGCAGCAGGAGAAGCGTGCTCAGCTGCTGCAACAGTGGCGCCAATGTGGATATCCGGATGCTTTGCCACCAGCCTTTCAGCAACATGTCTATGACCAGTGCACCGCAGTCACTTTGACATGGCGACAAGATACGTCTTTGGATGATTTGTGTGATGATCATCTGATGCATCGTTGGCTCTCTACATTGGATGACATTGCAGAGACAGACACCGCACAGACTCATTTGGCCACTTGGGCCTTTTTGCTATGGGGGCAGTTTGTGCTTCCCGACCTTGTTGAAGACACGGAGGATCCTGACTTTCAGATATGCATGGATCGTGCTTTCTTTGAGGTAGCAAAATTGTTTGAGATGGGTGATCTTTTGAATGCTCTGGATAAGCTTGATCGTGCTCGCGAACCAGCTGCTCCATTGATTGGCCCACCTGTTGCGACACCTGACTCCAGACAACGAGTGACTCTTGAGCCCTTTTCCCAGGGATATCTTGACCAAGCCTTGCTTTTGCGCCCTGTAACACCTCCGGTATTAACTTGGCCTGAAGCTTCAGCTGTCCCTGTGGTGATGGGTTACCATGAAAAGCCTACGTTGTTTGTGCTGCATATGTTTTCAGGCCGACGGCGCGAGCTTGATTGTCACCACTGGATTGAGACGTTGGCTCCTATTTTGATGCCGGAGTACAATGTGATCTCCCTATCCATGGACACGGCCATTCATCCTCAGCTGGGCAATCTCTTGGAAGGAGCAAGCCTGACTCATGCAGTTGCCCTGGCTCAAGGACACGCCATTGCGCTGGGGATGACTGGGCCGCCTTGCGAGACATGGACGGCAGCGAGACACATTGTTTGTGACGAGCTTCATGGCGCCGGACCTCGGCCCCTCCGTTCTTGTGCAAACGCGTGGGGCTTGATTGGCCTGTCACTTAAAGAGCTCTGCCAGCTTGGAACAGGCTCCGAACTAATGCTGAATAGCATGCTTCTGGAGATTTTGATTTCATTGGCAGGGGGCGGCAGCATCATGGAGCATCCAGCGCTCCCCGAGAATGAGGAGTACGCTTCCATCTGGAGAACGCTGATCCATCGCCACCTCATCATGCGCGCGCCAATGGCTCAGATGGTGCGCATTGAGCAGTGGCGTTACGGTGCTCCTTCAGTCAAACCGACGATTCTGAGAGGCTTAGGACTGCCCAAATTGGCGAAGCATTTGCACGCGTGCAAACAGCCCGATTTGAAGAGACCCACGGCCGTCCTAGCCGGATATGACCGCACCAAACGGTGCTTTCGAACCTCCGCGGCAAAGGAATACCCTGCCGGCCTGTGTGAGGCATTAGTGCGCTCAGCCTTTATGAGCCTTAGGCTGCGCCTGCAACGCTCAGGCACCGCTGTTGTACAGTGGCACTCTTTGGATCCCAGTGCTCGTTCGTGGGCCCAAGCGCTGGAGTATCAGACAAAGATTGCTTTTTCCCCATCATTTCTGCCGGACTATCAACCATTGTAAAGCTGTACATTTTGGTGGTTCGCTGCGTTGATGGGATTCATGCTGCATGTCCGCACAGTCAGCCGACTTACTGCGAGTGAACAAAAAAAAAGGAAATGTATAATATATATATATGTGCGTATATCTATTTAAATATGTATATATGTATATTATGTATATATATATATGAAACTCAACTGACGTAGGGTAGGGTGTCTCACGCAATCGGAGAATAGAGATAGCTGGGAGCTCTCGAGGTTGTGCAGACCGCGGAGGGAGCGAATTGTGTTGGCCTGTATGGAGTACATTGAGCTCTTGTCTACAATGTGAGGCCCCCGTTGGATAGCTAAGTTGGTGAACATAACTCCAATATCATTGGTTATTTGCGTACCATAAACCATAGTGAAATTGGAGTTATGTGCACCAACTGAACGCTATCCAACGGGGGCCTCACATTGTACCTTTTCAGTGACTACGGCGAGGGGCATCACCGAGTCCCAGCAACTCACCTGAGTGCTACTGTGGATGGCAACGCGAAATCATCACCAAACGTATGGTTGAAACCGTTGAAACCCTGTAATTCTTGGGATGTTTACCACGTATCAACTGGTGATTCGGATTTCGCGTTACCATCCACAGTAGCACCTTTTCTGGAACTCAGATCAGCTGGACTCTTCCTTTGGGGAAGGCGACGACGTCGGTATCGCACCAATGGCATCCACCTGGTCGTCCCTGTGAAAATCGCACCAATGTCTGAGTCTGGTCCATATATATTCCATATGTGTGCAAGCTTGCATGTTGTTCCATTTTTTTAGACGGCAAGAAATTCCCTTCTAGCTGGAAACTAGAGTGGAGGTCTGTTGACATGCGGATGTGAGTTGCTGTCGCGAATGGCATGATTTCATAGGTATTCCTTAGTGCAGGTAAGGATTGAAATTGCAATGAGGACAACTGGTTTCAACTTGGTTTGTTAATGCGATCAGTTTTGGGTTAAAAGGTGGATATATCTATGAAATGTGACATAGTGTGATATGTTTGATTCTTGGGTGAAACTAAACTGGCACAAACCAAACACAATTTTTACTACTTTTACTGAGGGAGGCTGCTTCATGCTTCAGCTGACTACCAATGAGCCTCGGGCGCTTGAATCATGAAAAGTAAGACAGAGACTAAGCATGGGAAGACGCACAGCAATCATCATGGGTGCTTCAGGGTGCTTCCCACGCAAGGTAAATGAGTATATAATAATCATACCGCAGTTACGGTATGTTACGCTTAGTTACTATATGTATATATGGGTTGTATAGTGGTTATAAAGGGCTGAGAAAACAGTCGCATACTTACCCTGCAACCCCATACTCCGCAACACGTCAGGATGCACTAGTGTACGCATCTAGCTTTTGGGGACTGGAACCAGGTTTGGTTTTTGTCCCAAGAGTTGGGTAATGTGGTGCAACCAAGGATAAAACATCTCCACTACCATAGATGGGTGGTACATATCTAGGTCTTTGACAGATCGGTTTACCTACCACATCAAATAGGACCAAAGCACAGGCCACGACACGGTGGCATCCCCATGTTTTTCTTTGGTTTCACGGGTTCACCTTGGTTCGGGAGAAAAAGTCTTTGTTTGCCGCAGAATGCCGGGTGGAGACAGAAATTCATGGTGTTCAGAACCTCAACTTGGCTAACTTGACCCCACGGAAGTTCCCACCAATCGATGGGGATCCCAAATTGTCTCCCAGGCTGACGTGAATTTGCATTGTGACGAGCCAAAGACCTCGAGTTCAGTGACTTCACTCAAAAAATCCTGATGAATCGTAGGGAGAAAAAGCCAGATTTCTGGATGATAAAATCAGTGTTAAGATCCCGTGGGAGAAAAAATTGGGTCAAAACCCTGGGGCATGTGGTGTTTTCCCAGTCAGAGTAGCGGCTAGAGTCCAAATACCGGTGTGAGGCTTAGTCCGGCAGTTTTGACCGGAAAATCACCCTTCGGATAAGATCGGATCATGAGATGATGTGATTTTCATATGTGATACCCTCTGGTAAACTAACGTGACTATAGAAAACCACCATTTTTTATCGGTAAATCAACTATAAATGGTCATTTTCAATAGCTATGTTAGTTTACCAGAGGGTATAATGTGGGATTTACCCCATGCCATTTGGGGGATGGTTCAAACACCACCCATATTTTGGAGATGGTTTACGGCACTGCAATACGTTTCTTTACCAGAGGCTATCTGCGGCCTCAAAACTTTCACCTTCAAAACATTGCATGCCTTGCCAAGCGGGATTACACGAGGCTAATTCATAGGGGAGCTAATCATAACCCATCATTATGATGTCCATTTACCATCATTTACCAACCAGTATTTGGTTGGATGGCAAAACAGAGTATGTTTCATGGCTCAAAATCGCGTTTTGTTTGCACCTACTGAGGCACAGGGTCGGGTTTTGAAGAAAAATCCAGGTATTGTTTGTTGTCTCGGACAGTAGCTATTTTGAACATTTAAGGTAATTACTAGTTGAACCTAGTTCTTAGGCATATCTACTTGTGAGAATAGCATCCTACAGAAAAACATGATGAACCTCATTCAGATCAATGCCCCACAAATTTCTGACATGGGTTGAATTAGCTGGACATGTTGCACCTTTTTCACTTGACGTTCTTGCCATAGGGGAGCATTCCATCGTTAAAAACATCACATTCGGCACAGGATTATCCCAACTGGCTCACACGGGGGTTCAAAGCACCAACCAGAGGCATTTTGGAAGACTTCAAGAGCCATTAACACTCCAAGATGATTCATGTTTCCTCCAGCTAAGGGTCATCTCATAATCAGCTTGTAATCTGGGAGAGCCATCCTTTTCTGCATTTTCGAAAAAACCCGGCAGCATCTTCAGTGCCAGGGCTTTGCAACATGGATGCTGATCGTTCCCATCGCCGAAGCTTGTCATGGTGAAGTTGGCGGCGAAGAGTAGCAACATGATCCCCCTACACTTACAGCCCTCAGCAGTTGAAGCTGGCGAAGATAAGCTCATTTAACTTATATGTATACATATTTATATATATATTATATATATATATATTTCGCCAACTAGATATAGGTTGGTTGGTTGGTTCCCATAGATTTGCTGTTCAGGGCCATATAAGTGTAGTTGGTTTTTTTTGGGAGGATTCAGCTAAAGTCAGGATTTAACCATATATGCTGGGGGAAGGTATAGGAGGTGTTTGCGGGGCGGATACAAGGGGGTGTTGGTTGGGATGTGCCGGGGCGGGGCATCAGGTTCTCGATTTAGGAATTGTTGTGAGTGCCTGGGGTATACCAGCCATTC